AGACTTTCTAAAACAGTTTAGAAATGAGTACTGAAAGCCTTTTAAAAATGTGAACATTTCTTGAGCCATATGCCTTCCTATATATTGGGCTCTAACCTAAAATTTAGACAATATAATATAAAGATGTTCATTGTCATACTTTGAATTTGAATGTTAAATGCCCAATAGGAATTAATTACATTGACTATTTCAGCTTGTAGTACACTTTTTTAAAATGCTCTTTTTAAAACTTAATGTTTTAATCAGAATTATTTGAAATACTGAGTTAAACCCATAATTTATTTTTATCTGATTCATAAGGTACAAGGTCCTATGACTTATTGACTGTTCTTCTGACTGTTCCTGCCCTTCTTTTCTCCTTTCTTCTTTTGTTCTTTTTAATGTATTGTCTTCTTATAGTCTTTCTTTTTGTGTCAGTTAGATGTCACTGTGATGAGTGGTTTCATTTTTTAAACAGTACTGTTTTTAATTTTAAAATGTTCTTCAGATTCTGTCCTAGGTTTAGAACTTCTTTTCCTTTGTGGGTTCTTTTTTTTTTCTCCCTGTTTATATATATGTTATAGCAAAGTCATACTTTGTTATTTTTGTTCTGGATTAACAACAGAATTTAGAATTATGTTATTACCACACCTTTAAGTAATATGATACAATGAATTGTTTAAAGGTTATTTAAAAACTTCATTTTTTAATTGCTTTTGTGGTCAGGGAACTTTTATTTAACCAAACTTTCTTGTATTTTGAAGTAATTTGTTATTGAGAAAATACTTTCTTGACTAGACTGATTTTAATGTTTCCAAAATCTGTTTTAGGATTGAAGGTACATTTATTGGAGGGAATAATTGAGAAGTGGTCACTATTGGAAAGCACAGAATAATTGATACCTTTGTGTTGTTAATGGTTTGAGGGCAGGACCCAGATTTGCTTATTAAGTTTTCAAATATATATATATATATTTATAAAACAAAAACATTTTAAACTTTTTTTGGTTATGGATTTCAGAGTTGTATCTAGTAACAGTGGAAATACTTTTTTAAATAGTTTCTAACTTAGTAATTTTTCTTAACATTCTGTATAGTAAACCAAGGGTAAGTGGGCTTTTTGTTGGGTCATCATGGAATCCTCATGAATCATGAATCACATTACTGTTTCTTCTAGTTGCTTCTTGGTTTTTGTTGTTGTCTGACTGCAGTTTATTTTATAGACTGTTTGAGAACTGAGGAAGAGTGTAATTGAAATGATGGTTTTGGACTGGGAACATAGTATCCTTGGTGGCTTCAGCGTTCTACTAATTATATAACATTTAATTCTTTTCTGCCATTTCCCCCATCTACGAACGATCACAAGCTCTGCTTATTTTACCTGAAATTTGTGATGATGAACTTCTTTCTTTAGTTTCTTAGACAAAAATTAGTATAAATGTAGGGTACTAGGCAGTAAATTCCCCAGAGGTTGAATGACCCTTTGACTGCTGTTAAAAGAAGTCCTCCTTTGGGAGGAAAATTAGTGCAGCTGCTACCATATAGTGAGCACATACTATGTGCCATAGCTTATCTCATTTAATCTTCACTTCAACTCTATTTGGTAGGTAGTATTATTTCCATCTTACAGGAAAGAAACAGAGGCCTGGCTCTCCCATAGGTAAGTATCAGAACCAGGATTCAGACCTAGATTTTTTTTTTTTTTTTAACTCCAAAACTGAGCTTATATTGCATTCCTACTGTAATGTGTCTCTTGATCTAAGGCTTTGATATTTCTCTAAGAAATTAATCTTTATATTAACTTTTAGTATGTAAATATGTAAGTTTTCTGTTGTCTGTTCACTGTAGTTATTGCTGTGCCATGGTACATTTCTTGTGCATTTTCTTTGACCTCTCAAATAGCATTTATATCCCATTCACATTCCTTCATTGTGTGTTAAATATATTTTTAGCACTGACATATTTCATGAAGCATGCTTTCAGTGTTTAAAAATATATACCATTAGGAACTGGTTTAATAAATTATATATTTGCATTTTTTACATGTTTTGAGGCAGTCATTTTAACATCTGTTTGCAAAAGTGATTAATGCTTATTTTACATGGATGCTTTGAAGGCTATAAACTCTGAAGTTTAACAAACTACTTTCATACGCCTATAAAGTATTGTTCACTAACCTTCTCATGTACTCTCACACATAGAGAAAATGATAGTAGTTATTATGTCACACTGGTAAATGGGTCACTCTGCTCCTCCTGATCACCAGTACTTGGCCCAGGGAGCCATGCCCTCTCTACCCTCATGTTGTGCCTCCCTCTCTTCGCTTCCTAGTGCTGAGAGGGTTGTTATCTTGGCACACCTGTAACTCCTTGTGGATATATAACCTTTGTGAGAAAGTCGACTAAAATGTCTGTTCTTTGGACTTACATATTCAGTAAACATAAATTTCTGAGAAAATTAAAATTTTAAGTGGTCCATTCTAAAATGTGCACATTGTGGATCATTCTAAAACATACAATCATTTGCTAGTCTCTTTTGGAACCTGCTCTTTTACTTTCTTTGTAACTTAACAATGATAACAGAATATCATGATTTTAAGTGTTTTATATAAACCTTTTGCCTTCTGTTACCAACTAAAGCTTTACTGTATATTGTACATTTTCTTTGATCTTGTTTTTGCAATTTGGAAAGGAGTCTTTAAGGTGCTTGAGATATTTCCAGTTACGTGGTTAACAGTAATGATGATTGTATCTAACAAAAGAACTTGATCAGGCATTAAATGTGTATTCTTTCAGTTTAATTGTTTAGATTGTGTACCCTCTGTATTTGAAAAGGAGTATTTATAAGGTTTGATGCTTCTTTAGAAAGTTTGTTACTTAGTTTTAAAGTAGTGTGTTACTTGGCCCTACCTCAGAAGAGTGATTTCTATCATTTGTTAAAACCACTGTTTTTTAAAACAACAACTTAGAATTTTGACATGAAAACAGCATGAAGTTTGTATTGTAAAACCTCTCATTTGAATATTTCTCCTTCTGTTTTCCCAATGGTCAATGTCAGCACAATTCTTCACTGGAAACCAAAGTGGCCCCTGAGAGTTCCCTGTCTGGTGATTCTTACCCTCCTCCTTTTCCCTAAACTTTAGCCATTTCAGCAGGTCTTGAAATACTGTTGCTTCTACCCCCAGAAGGCCCCTCTTTTGTAGTTCCACCTCTGCTGTTCTGGTTTAGTATCTTCCCGTTTCCAACCAGTTTTGCTTTGGAATTAACTCCCTAAAGCACAGCCTGATCAGGTCACTTCTTTCCTTAATACTGGTTTTTTCTTTTTATTGCCATAGTTGGTAGTCATCTGCCCTTTACATCTGGCCCCAGCATACTCTTTTTTCTCTCCCATTCTTCTGTGTTATGTCCACATGTGCATAGGGGTGTATGCCTCATCTCCTCTCAGTAATTTTTCTTATTTTGTTTGTATTCAATCATGTCACTAACTTTTTATCATACTTATACTCACTGCATAGTCTCAGCCTGGAAGATTCCTTATCAGATGTTACTGCTCTGTAAAATATTTCAGTTACCTCACCCTGGTTTAGAATTATTTTCCTTTTGTGATACTTCAGATGATTTACCACATTGTGCCTTAGAGTATAATTGGGTGCATAATTCATTCTTTTCTTCTACTGGGTATGAAAATTTTGATGACATGGCCCAAGTCTTTAGTTAAATTGTCTTGGTGGTTACTTAATATAAGAGAGTACTTAAACATGTATTTGCATGTATGTGCTTTAATTTAACTCAGTTTAAGTATCTACTTTGTGTATAGCACTGCACATGCAATGCCAGTCTCTTTGAGGAAATAAAAAATAGAGGTAACGTGTTCCATGAATATAACATGCCCTCAAAGAAGATATGTATTCTATTAGGAAAAAAGGTGCTGATGCAATAAATTGAAAGGCACTGTTAAGAAGTCCATGAAAGGGGGGCACCTGGGTGGCTCAGTTGATTAAGCAGCTGCCTTCAGTCATGATCTAGAGGTCATGATCTAGAGTCCCAGGATCTAGTACCACATCGGGCTCCCTGCTCGGCAGGGGGTCTGCTTCTCCCTTTGACCTCTCCCCTCTCGTGCTCTCTCCTCTCGTTCTTTTTAAAAAAAAAAAAAAAAAGTCCATGAAAGGGGCACCTGGGTGGCTCAGTGGGTTAAGCCCCTGCCTTTGGCTCAGGTCATGATCTTAGGGTCCTTGGGTCGAACCCCGCATTGGGCTCTCCGCTTAGCAGGGAACCTGCCCCCCCGCCCTGCCTGCCTCTTTGCCTACTTGGATCTCTGTCTGTCAAATAAATAAATATTTAAAAATAAAAAATAAAATAAAACATTTATTTAAAAAGTCCATGAAAGTCACATCACTCACTAACAGTATACATTATATACCATATATATATATTTTTGTAAGTAATTTTGACTTGTCCTTTGGTATTTTGTCATCTCTCCATTTACTATATGATTGTATGTTTGTTAGATTTTTCTACCCATTTTATACATAAACTATTTGCATATATAAATGTTGGGTAATATTTTTACAAAACAAAACTTGTCTGTTCAGGTAATTTTATTTTCAACTTTTCATAAACTGAATTTAGAATTTAGCTTAATATATTATCTAAAGATCAATAATTAGACTTATTTAAATTTATAGAGGCTAACTTTTTGAGATACTGTCTTCATGTTTTTGTTAGCCTGTTTTTTTTGTTTTTTAAGTGAAGTAATGATGCTGCTATAGTTTCCTTTAGAGTAACTTGAAAGAAGAAACCTTGTAATCAGAAATTAGTTTTGTTTGTACATTTTTATTTTATCCAATTGTAATATTTTCTTAAGAAACATAGAATTTATTATGTAATGTTTATTTTATGTTTTTTTGAAGAATGGGAAATGTGGTTTGGCTCTCACATACTATGTGTTGTACAGATTCATAACGTGTAAATGTATTGCTTTGTGTACTTTCTTTATGCTCTAATATAATTAATTTGTTTCTAGATGCTGGCATCACCATCTACATCAGGTCAGCTGTCTCAGTTTGGGGCAAGTTTATACGGGCAACAAAGTAAGAATTTTGTATTTATTCTGGGATGCTTTATTTAAGGAAAAAAAATAGCTACAAAATAAAGAACAACCAGTGCTGCCCTTCTGGGTCAATTCTAGGATTTAAAAGGAAAGATTTTTAATTTTCAGTTTTCCTTATTTCACTTAATATAGGAAAACCTCATTATTTCAGACCTTTTCTAATTCAAAATTTGTTATTATTTGGGTATAGGAAAGACTGGAAGTTATTTTTACATCGTTTGTATCTGTATGTTCCTTTGCAGTACAATGTTTTTGAAGAATTTGCTAAACAAATAAAAAAATAGACCTCCTCTATGTTTTCAGTTAGAGGAAGTTAAACTTTTTTGTTTGGTCAGTTAAATGGGTGGTTTTGTTTGTGGGTTTTGGCCTTTTTATTAATGAAGGACCATTACTTAACAGTCTGCAAAATGCTCTTTGTTTAGCAAATATTTCTTTTAGTTTCGCTCATCTGGATATAGAATATATGTTTTTGACTCACAGTTTAATGCTTTTTCTACATATAAGATTTTATTTCTTTTTAAGTACTATAATGCTTTTATAGCGCTTAGCACAGTGCCTGGCGCATAGTAAGCGCTCAATAAATGTTTGCTATTATTATCACATAAAATTTTTATAAAACTAAGTTATAAAATCTTCCTGTTTTTTCCATTAATTTTCCAAACTGTTAAATATTAATAAGATTTTATTATCTCTGTTAATGTCAGAGACTGCTGATCTCTCATCTGTTAACAGAAGGGGAGTATTAAAGGGATATAAATTCCCATCCAAGATTATAGGACATAGAGTAACTGGAAAAAACAGTCTGATGACTGAGTATCTTAACCAGCTTCAAATAAAAATCAAGTTATTTGATTTGGAACCCTTTTCTAGTATAATAAAATAAAGTTTTGATAGGTATCAGAATAGTTTGTCAGACCACTTTATTCTTTAGATTTATTTTGAAGTTTAATAGGGGGAAGAAACTTACTATGTTAGACAAATATAGCTTCCATCTACTTTTTTCTTCCTCCTCATTTTGCTGTGGTGTGCAATTTTGTTAACACATTAGTAAATAAAATCATTAATTGGTTACAAATATTAGCAGTTTTCCTCTAATTAAGTGGAAAACATTTTTTAAAAGCTTTATATTGCATTAAAGAGGTGTTGCTTCATTTATTCACAAATGTTTTTCCTAATTGTTGAGGGGATATTATTAGCTAGTTATTTGCTTCATTTAGCCTGTGTTTTAGTACGAAACCTACTACTTTCACCTTCCTGGGCAACCCTTATTATGAAAATACCTAGTAATTTTAAAGCTACCCTTTATTTCTATAGAGTAACTGCAAAGAACTTCCTTTGTTTTCTTTTTAAAGCCCACAATTTATCGCAACAGAAAATAGATATGGAATGGAGAAAAATTATATTTGAGAAGCTAAGGTTATTTTGTGAAGGAGGATGACAATTATTTTACAATATAATCAGCCATATGGACTTCTAGAATCTGATGTCATTTTTTAACCTGCAAATGTGAAATTGTAATTGGGCTAAGATACAGAATGGGTTAAGTTTGAAATATAGTTATTTTATTGGTATTAGATATAGCTTCTTAATTTGTGTAAAATGATTGTGCTGATTATTAGGGATATACAAAGATTAGTAAATGAGCAAAGTTATTTTCATTAGAAAAAGTATTTTAAGGTATTCAGGTTAAAAAGAAATCACATATAACAGATATTTCCTTTTGGAATTTAGTATATTAAATGACTGTATTCCTGTAGCAGTTGTAATCAGCATTTTCAATGTACAGTTTAGTCTTTTTTAACTGACAGTGTAGGTATTAGTCTACAGAAAAATTGAACCTTAGGTCAGTTGGAACTGAAATGTGTCAAGTCAGGGTGCAGTTACTCCTTTCCAGGGTTCAGATGTAGAAAACTGCAACTAATGAAAAAAGACAGAGGCTGGATTCCCAGTCTCTCCTATCTGTTAGGACACACCCTAGGGCCAAATAGCTGTTAGCTGATGAGTACTCTGAACATACACCTTGTCAGAGAGAACACCAGCTACCCTGTGGGACTTGAGGGTCTGGGTTTCAGTAGTATAAATTAGTCAGAATGATAAAACTTGAGGAGCTAACTGTCATAAAGGATGGAGAGGTAGAAGGAATAGCAGGTGGGAGAGGTTAGTGATGTTATTCTTATGGCAACAAATTGTAATTGTACATTAGGTTTGATACAACTGAATGTTCTTTTGCTTCACGAGTGTATTGAATACTACCATTAACTCTGTATTCAGATTGGCAAAGTTCAGTAGGAATTTTTACCATTAAAATAGGGGTCTACTATCTGTTTTGTGTTCTTGAGATTAAACAAGGGAGGACGTTCCTCTTGGAATGGATACAGAGCTGCTGAAACCTACATTTTGCCAGATTTGGGTGGAAGTAATTGTGTGATATATAAGGGTGCCTAGAAAGTGCTGCACTAGGGGCTTGTATGATTACAGATCCCCGTATAGTCCGATTGTATCCAAGTATGTAACTGATTTTTCATCTAGACATTCATGTGAATACAGTGCACCAAATGATAACTATAGAAGCCATTGAACAAAATCTTATATTCAAGTTACATGATGTTTTCTACTTGTTTTCTTTGCAAGTGTGCATAAGATTTTAGGTGTACCTTATAAATTTAAAGACCCCCTTGGCTCCCCAAAGCTTGTACTAGATCGGAATTAATTGGGAACCAGGAATTTAATCTCTCCTTGATATTCAGTGCATTAAAATTAAGTGGTAATAAAGTTGGGGTCACTTTTACTTTTTTACCAACAAGATTTAGAGCCTTAGAGTTTTGGAGAAAAGGGCAACTATTATTTACTGAGTGCTTCCTGCATGCCTACTGTCTTATAGGCACATAGGTTAACTAACCGTCAGGATGAATCCATGATAACGCACTTGTACCTGAACTCTCAGAGGACCCAGTCATCTAGCTGGGGAAAGAAAGAAACTTGTCTTTCTGGGATCTGGACTCCCAGCTTGAGAGCAGTGGCATATTCTCATGCTTAGCAACATTTATTTGGCCTCCTGTTTTAACAACACTGAAATGAGTTTTGTGGAGAACCAGAGCACAGGTGGGGTGATTCAGAAGTGATGCTACTGATAGTGTGGTTAGGCCAGTGACAGATTTTAGTAGCTTCAAGAAATTATAGGAACATTTAACAGATACTTGAATTAATATTCTGGGAGTTCTTGCTCTCAAGCACACGGTATTAGTTTGGGAGGTCAAGACATTTATATATAAAATGTTTATAACAGCCTACAGTGTTGATACATAGGTTGAAAGGTATCATACTGAATTGGTTGGACAGACTTAGGGTTTAGAGAGAAGAGCACAGTGAGCTACAGTGGTAAGGAAAAGCTTCAAGAAGGAGTTTAATAGATACTTACTGAGTGCCTACCATTTAATGGCATTATGCTGCATAGTGGTAGAGGCTCTTTCCTGCCATCCCTGTACAGAATACATATTGCTGTTCTGTTGCCACATTTGTTCATTGCAGGTCTTCCTTTGCTTTTGTATCCTTAGTATTCTGTACATGACAGGCGCTCAGAAATGTTTATTGAATGCATGATGAGCAAGATATGGTTCCTACGTGTAATGTAGATAAGTACACAAGTTATTTTCCTACAGAGCAAAGGAAGTAGTAGAGTTTTCTGGACATTTCAGAGGTGGGAGTAATCATGTATCTTGGAGAATAATCAGGAAGGGATTTACAGATGAAGTCATGTTTGTCGTTGGCCTTGAAGAGACTGGTTAAGGTTGTTCTAGTAGTGGGAACAACACCCCCAGCATGGGGTAGATTTGGGAGTGGTCTGGTTTATTAAGGCAAGGGAAACTTAACTAGGCTGTTGATTGATTTCATTCAAGAAGTACAGTCTTTACAATACTGTGGGACATTTCTCAAGATCTTTACCACTTTCCAAGGTCAAGAACAGAGCTATAGCATACAGTTTTCCCACAGAAAACAATGATTTTCTGGTGAAAACCATTAGTTCATTAGACTGTAATCTTCACCTTCACCTTTAGGACCACCTGTTGACTCACTCTATTTTTTTTTTTTTTTTTTCATAGGCATGTTTCACATTCCACCCCAGCCACTTCCCCAAGACTAATAATTAATTATGTATTTACTGCGTGTCAGGTGCTATTTTAAATATTTTATGTGAATCAGTTCATTTAATCTTCACATCTATCTGAAAGAGGTTAAGGGATTTGCACAAGGTTTTACAGGCAGTAAGTAGTAGAGCCAGGATTACATTACCTAGTAAGTGTAACTGTGTTAACATGAGAACAGAAGTTTCTTTGAAACCTGGATCCTATACTGCTTACTGAATGTCATGACCCTAGAGGGCCATTAGCACATAGTAGAAACAACAAATGTTTAAATCCACAGATTTCAAGGGTCTACTGACCAGAGCATTAGGGTAGTATTTAGTTAGCTACCTCTACCATGAGTGAAATACTATTCCAAGAGCTCAGAGAATGGCAAATATCAAAGATCTTGTTTTCGTGGAGCTTACATTTTAATGAAGAAAGAATAATCATGCAGACAACTAAGTAAATAAGATGATTCTAGTAAATACTATAAAAATCAAGTCAGATTAAGGGATTGAGCAGACAAAGAGGCTGTTTTCTGAGGAGGTGGTATTTGAATGAAAACCTCAATGTTGAGAAAGGGAAATCTTTGGAAAGATCTGATAGAGAGGTTTTTAGGTACAGACAACAGCAAATGGGAAAGTGCTTACTCATGAGAAAGCAAGAAAGAACTGAATGTATTAACAGGAAGAGTGAGAAGGCTAGTGTAGTGAACAAAGAAAGCATACGGTTAATGGAGTACCAGGTGTCAGATCATGGAGTCTTGTAATGATTTGGGTTTATTCTAAGTTTAACGGGAAGGATTTTAAGATACAGTTTCATTTTAAAAAGACCACTTTGCTCTGTAGCAAATGGA